AAAACCTTTGGGAAAGAAGCCCCTAAGCATTCCCATTAATGGAAACTTCAGATTCTCTCTCAATTTCCTAAAAATGTAGCCGTCTTAAGTCATTCAACTGCAGCTATCACTTTACAAAGAGAAAATTTAAATTCCCCCTCGGCTGTGGTAAATAGAAGGCGACAGACCCTCGCCCCCGCCAAAGCGAGGTGGGGCGCTTGCCTCCTAGTTACTAGAAAACCAGCCAAAGCTGCTTTTAAACGGTCTCGTGGTGACGACGCATTCCTAACGGGTTTCGAAGGCACGTTTAAATCGCCCGCTTTTTTGTTTGCTCGCTGCATTCACCCGGTGCCGGGACTACGGCCGCCCCCGCGCGCCGGGGAGGGGAGCCCAGGGTGGGAAAGCCGGGGCGGAGAGAGGGGGTACGACCGGGGAGGGGGGCCCGGGGCGAGGAGAGCCGGGGGCGGAGGACTCAGGGATGCAGAACCCGTGCCGGGGGGGAAGGGAGGGGCTGGACAGAGAAAGCTGAGGACGCCAGGAGGCGGGGATCCCGGGGCGGGGAGAACTGGGCCGCCGCCCCGCACCGGAGAAAGCACCGCGCGGCGCCCGCCGGGGTGTGCGCAGAGCCGCGGCTTCGCGCAGCGACGCCGCCCCCTCCCTCTCTCCCCCGTCGTCGTCGCCTCCTCCTCCTCCTCCTCCCAAGGCGACAGAAACAACAGCGCGGGAGGAGGGGAAAGTAACTCCCGGCACCTCCGCCGGAATTAGCCCCGGTGCAGTGATGACACCTTCTCGTGGCGCAATCAAGCCCCGCTCCCTCCGCAGCGGCGTCCCCGCCGCCGCCGCCCTCTCCGTTTGAAAGTGGCCACCCCCCCGCCGCCGCCGCCGCCGCTCCTCCCGCCCCGCCGCCGCCAGCTGCACCAATCCGCTCGGCCCCAGTTGCAAATCAAACGCTCCCTCGCGTCTAGAAGCCACTTGCGCCGCTGGAAACGGCCGCGCCGTCCCCCCCTCCCCGAGTCCCTCCCGGGCGGCACCTTCAGACTGGGGCGGGCGCGCCGGCGAGAAACGGCTGTGAGATGGGAGCGGGAGCAGCGGTGACGGCGAGCAGCTCCGAGAGGACTCGGCTCCCGCTCCCGCCCCCAGACAGTTCTGGAAACTGTGTATCACCTCTGTCACAGGAAGCCATCCGGCGAGGAAGGCGGCGCGGAACCAACAAACAAACGCCTGCGGCCGCCCGCCGGAATCTACGCGGGGACGGCGACGGGCTTCGGGCCGTTCCCCGGGCGTGAGCGCGGTGGCCGCCCCCGCGCCGCGGGCTTTGTGCGGGGCTCCCGCGGCGCGGGCGCGGTGGGCCAGGCGTCCCCGCCCCCGAAACCCCCCACCCCGGGCCCCGGCAGCGCTGCTGGGACCGTTAGGTGACGCTCCAGCGCGGCTGAGAAAGCAGCGCCTCGGCCGCCGCCCGCCCGTCCCCATTTCCACATGGAGCCGCCTCTCCTCCAGCGCCAGAGGCGGGCCACAAAAGTTGGCCCCGGGGCCACCCAGCACCTGCCCACGTGCCGCGGAGGCTAGCTCCCGGGTCTCCCCCGTCCCTTTCCCTCCCGCCGCCCTCAGCCGCCAGGTCACCTATTACCGGTGGGAGGGGAGAGAGGCTGCTATTTAAACGCCCGCGGAAGTTGAGGCACCCCCACTGTCGGGTGCCGTGCACCTGCCTCCCGCCGCCGCGCTCCGCCACTTTGAGCAGCAGCCGCGTCCTCGGCCCCGCCTCCTGCCCGCAGGCGGGCGGGGGGAGCGGGAAGGAGGTGGAAGGGATCGAATTTCTCCAGCAAATGGGACCGTTCCGACAGGATTCGGTTCCCCGGTCAACATTCCACATTCCATCCCTCTCCCGCATTTGCAAGCCAGCGCCAACAACCCGGAAAGCATGCTGGCTACAGAACAACAGCCCCCAACTCACAAATACACACTCACAGGCGCAGGACACGTGCACTGAAGGGCTTCGCAACTTGCAGTCCCGGGGTGCACACTGCACGTTTTCAGGCGGACCAAGGGACACGACGCCACCCTCACAATTTGCAGACGGTGCCAAAGGTTGCAATTTACTATCCGTTTTAAGTTCATGGTTAATCGGTAGTTTGGTCTACCAATGCAACTCCTTCCTAATTTCACCGATAAAGGGTTTTACACTTCACAGGCAGTCTGGCTGTAAGTAAAAGGTCTGTTCACTGGAAACCCAATTGGGAAGAATCTAATTGCTAAACTGTCCCTGCATCCCCCCCACCCCTCCCTCACTGCCCTTGAATTGATGCAATGAATAATTTGGACATGTGGTGACGCGGTGATAAGAGATAGGGCTGCAGCTACCCTACACAGATGTACCTATACCCACACCTATGTTTGGACTATACAGTCGTCGTCCCTTCCCCCCGCACCACCACCACGGTCACACACACTCTGGATTCATATATGTACCCGGACCTTGTTCTGCCATTGCCATCTGTCTACCAAGTTGCTATTATGCTTTCCACTTCCATGCAACCTAATGCACTTTGGCTGTTTAAAAAATTCTATAACTAAAGCCAACTAAACTGGGTTTCTGCTCCTGAACGCGTTTTAATTGATGATTCGCCTGAAAACCGCATGTTCTTCGCAAATCCAAAAGAAAAAGCTCTAAGTCTTCAGCCCCCAAAACTGAAAAATAATCATAATAAAACTTACTGATCCAACACAGATCAATTCTCAGGATCCAAAAATCATCCTCTCCTCCTCCTCTGGCCCCCGCCCCGGCAATGCCCAAGTTACTGGTGGGATAGTAACGCTGCGCTCGGCGGCTGCCGGCCCTCCCTCCTTCGCTACATATCGAGAACCCAATCTTTTGGCGCCATATTAATGACGTACTATATTATTTCCACTAGGCAGCGACCTTCGGCATTAAATTACTCCCGAGAACTCCCGAGCAAAGCAACAAAACCATCAAATATGGCTGAGCCTCTCGGCTCGTCCTGCAGCCGCCGCCGCTGCCGCCGCCGCGGGATCGGGACGCGCACACGGACCCACACGCGGACACGCGCGGACTCTCGGTCGGCGCGCCCTCCCCGCGCGCCCCCCGCGGCCCGCGCGCGTACCTGCTGCGGAGGGGTTCGGCCGCGGCGCTGGGCTCCTCGCCGCTCGCTCCGCGCCTCATGAGTTCGGGCCGCGGCGGGCTGGCGGACGGAGTGGCGGGCGGGGAGTCGGGCGGGCCCCTGCTCTCGCCGGCGCGCACACACCCGGCGCTCGCGCGGGGAGGCACTCTCGGACGGGCGTTTGGCTTGTTATGGAGGAAGGACTGTGTGAATCAAACTCATTTCTGGGTCACTGCTGCCACAGGGGGGAGCACTTTAATCCCTTGCCAAAACGAGAGGGTGGGGACGGGAGGGCGGAGGGAGCGCGCCGGGAACCGCGGTGCGGGGGGCTCTGTCCCTCGTTAACTCTTCGCGGCCCTCGCCGTAGCAGACTCGGCCTGTGTCAGCAGGGGCTTGCAAAGAGCCGCATGCTTCAGCTTTTAAAAGCTCTTCCTTCACCTCTCTTGTGAGCCTAGACTTTCTTGAGCTGTCTCCAAGCAGGGTGGTGGGCTTTTAAATTATCCCTTTCAAACTCTCCCAGTCTCAACTCTTGTTTGACATCACTGCACAAGAAAAGGATTCTTTCAAATTACTTAAAATTATGTAGATTAAACTGTGGCTATTAAGGAATGTAGTTTGGGTGAGGTTTTATTTTTAGATTGAATGGAAAAATAAATAGTTCTTTCGTAGTAACACTTTTGGGGAGCTGCGGGTTATAATGACATTTTTAAATATAGAAAATCCAGTTTTGGAGCTGGAACACTTCTTTACCTAAGTTTGTATCAAAATGATAATTGCAAATAAGCATTAATTCATTAGGAGACAGTAATTATTTGTAAGTTGACACCACCGTTAGGTTACACTGTGTTACAGAACTGGACATTGTCTTCCAAATAGGGAAAATTGAGCCTAATGCTAAAACTGGAGCTGCAGACTAATATAAAAGTAGTCAGATTAATTCAGGGGTATTTATGTGTAAAAAAGGTGTGGTTACTGGTTTTCTGCAGAACACAAACTTTTTCATGTGGAGATTAACACACTTCTCTCATGAAAGTACAAAAGTGTTAGCCGCTCAGTCATGTCCAACTCTTTGCAACCCCATGGACTGTAGTCCACCAGGCTCCATGGGATTATCCAGGCAAGAATACTGGAGTGGGTTGCCATTCCCTTTTCTAGGGGTTTTCCCGACCCAGGGGTCAAGCCCTGGGCTCCTGCATTACAGGCCAATTCTTTACCCTCTGAGCCGCCAAGGAAGCGCTTTTCTCTCATGGACCCCCTTAAAGAAATGAGTCTATATGATATTCTGCTTCAAAAGGGAAAAGAAAAAAAAAAAAACTGGGGTACAGGTTGAAAATACTATTCAATAATCCAGAACATACATCACTGATTGCAAAATTGAGTACCAAACCCAAAGGCATACTTATCCACTGGAAGAATTCTTCTGAATATATCAGGTTTGGTTTCACAATATCAAACACCAACCCATCCACCCACATCAGGATCATAGTAATCTGATAAATGTGGGAAAACAAAACTAATTGAGTCTTTCAATTATTTTTCAGAAAGCAAAGTAAACCAAAGGAAATCTTAAGTATATGTCCTTTTTCTCTCTTGCCTGCTTCACTAATGAAGTACAAAGACACCTTATCAGTCCTGTTTATGTGCTCACTTAATCCCACATATGTAAAGCACTATGCTATCATTATTACTGTTATTAATGTTGCCCTGAAGTTACTGCTGTTTTCCTTGGTTCACTTTACACATACTCCACTGCAGAAGTAAAAGGACACATGCTTCATAGCCAGACAGACCCTGAACTGAATCTGACTCTACATGTTGTCAGCCATGCAACTGTGGGGTAAATTACAAAACTTCCCTGAGCCTCAGTTTCTTCCTCAGTAATAAAATGGGGTTAACAGGCCCTACCTGAAGGGTTGTTAACTGGAATAACTCCATAAACAACGCCCAGCAGAGACCCTGGCAGTAGCAGAGCCATCCTTCCTATCTCTCATTCTTGGTCTTCTCGAGACTTTGAAGACTGCAACTTTTCCACATTCCAGGGAAACTTACTTCACTCATTCCCCTGCAAAAAATAAAAATAAAAGATAAACTACACTTGCCATTCAGCCTTTAACTTTTTTTTTTTCTGACTATCTCCACTTCCAAAACATCAGGTGACAGAAATGAAAGTGTGCTGAGTAAATAGATGAGAATAAAAGGGGGTAAAAAAATACACGAACCCTCAACACTGATGATTAAGACTGATGGTCCCAGGAACATGATGAGGTAGTGCCATGTGCCATAAATAGCCTTGGACTAAAAGTCTGCAGCCTCCTATCAACTCACACTATGACTCTGGACAAATGTCTTTGGATCTTAGTTTCCCCACTGAGATGATAGACAAGATGATATTCAACACCCCTTATCTTATTAACATTCAGTAATTTCTGATTGTTCTTACCAAACTTACAAGTTGATGATTATTTGTAGAAGTGGAGGACAACTTGTATCAATAAAGAATGTGTAAAAACAATTCGTTATTAATCATCAGTGATTGACATTTTTTAAATAATAAATGTCTTCTGCCAGATCACAAAGGAAACTTTTATACATCCTATTTCTAAAATGGGACAGCAGTGTCTTGTGGCAGCATATTTAAAGAATAAGTAGTACTAAGCTGGCAATTAGGAAATGAGTTTCTGGTAACACTCTGTCACTTATTATCTTAACTTACCAAATCATTCATGATCACAATTTCCTGGTTTCTAGAATGGTCCTGTTAGCAGAGATAAAAAGGACATTCAAGAAAATAGGTACAAAGTAGTCACTATAGTTATCAAGATTCTAGTCTTTTCTGATCTGATCAGTGTTCATGGTGATAATTACCATTCTGTATATTGCTTTCATTTTGCTATTGGCATACACAGTTTAATTATTCCCTTCCATAATAATAGGTTTATAGAAATACTGAATACATATATTCATATTCCTAATTTTGAAATCATACATGATTAAACTTATAAATATTTACCTAGTTATTTCATTTGTGTCTACTCTTCAGGTAAAGAATTATAAAACCTTGATACGAAATTCAGAATTGTTCATCTTTGAAATGAAGTAGATATGTATGCTAAAACCCTATAAATCTCATTCCTTCAAAGAAATTGAGCAAGAAATTCTTCCTGGCAAATACCATTGCCAATTGGTAAATGTTATGACATGTGTATATACAATTTTTATTGCACAAGTGCTCTCATGGATAAAATGAGTTGTGTTCTAAAAGTTTATATGTACTTTAATTGTGTGGAACTTTTAATTTATTCCCCAATACCTTGTTAAAAAGCAAGCTTAAGTTGTCAAGTACTTTTAAAAATAACTCTAATAACTAAATGACAGAAAAGAATAACTTTTTTGAATGATATTATTTGGGGAACAGAGCTCCCTGTCTAACCAATCAATGAAGTCACCAGCCATGAACAGCCTGGTAATCCCTCCGAGTAGGTGGTTACAGCACAGAAAATGATTGGAAGACCAGTGACCAAGATGCTTTCTTGCAGGTGTCAGGACTGACTAAATTATTGCCTTTCTTGAGGTTCTTCATTTTTTTTTTGCTTGTCTTTGATTTGGTTATTTTAATTTTGTTGATTTTCATACGTTTAGCACAATGCAAGATGTCAAAGAGAAACAGGTCTGACAGAGAGACGGAAGAGGAAATAACTTAATTCAGCCAGATGGAAATGTCCAAGACTGCAGAGGTTAAAAATAGGAGAAGCTTTGCTCAATCATGAATGGGAAACATGATGGAGAGAATTTTCAAATTTTAGAAAGGCAAAGGAAGATGATAAATCGCACCTATAAGGGTAACGATTATAAACATTGCCATATATTTTTCCAGTTTTATTTCTAGGCATTTTTAATAATGTCACATATTTGAATGATGTCACGTATTTCATTTTACAATGTTTCTTTCACTTCTTTCATTTTTATCTTCTCAGTATTTTAGTACTTTTTTTTCAGGTCTTGGCCAGTCTGCATACTATAACTTCATCTACAAGCCACCTCAACCATATATTCTCATAGTTACTCCCTCAAACTTGTCAACCATTGGAAAGTTTTGCCAAACTTAATATCAAATTCAAATATCTCTTTTAGCCACTGCCTCTATGACTTCCAAATTTTGTTTCCCACGGACCTTTCTTCTTATCTAAAACGTCACTCCAATCCACCCCTCCAGTCCTCTCTAATTAGATGCAGAGCAGTGGTAACTCAAAACGTGATCTCCAACCAGCAGCAACAACTGCTCCTGAGAACTTGTCAGAGATTCATTACTTCCAGATCTACAGAGTCAGAAAGGGAGATCCAGCCATCTGTGTTTTAACAAGCCTTTCAGATAATTCTGATTTGGGTTTAGCAACCACCTGAGTAGATTTTACTTTCATCCACCTGTTTGAGGTACATGACGAGGCAAGGGAGACAAGGCTGCAAGTAAATAGGTAAGCAGGTCTATTCTCTGCCCCTGGTGATGGCGATGTAGTAGCTTAGTCCTGTTGGACTCTTGTGACCCAATGGACTATAGCCCACCAGGCTCGTCTGTAGGATTCTCCACGCAAGAAAACTGGAGTGGACTGCCATTTCCTTCTCTAATTTTTGCCCTTAGGGCAGTTATAAATACAAAGGGGTGATGACAATTAACTACAGGGTGTGGAGAAAGCATAAACCTAAAAAGATTACAGGTGTTAACCAGATTGGGGGTGCGGTGGGGATGGAGGGGGCACTCTAGTGGTTTTCTTGATTGGGAGGTTTATTTTTTGTTTCTTAAATAAAGCCCCTGGCTTCTGTGTGGCAAAAGGATGGGGGTAGAGATGAGACATGAGGTAGGGAGGCTAGTTAGGAGGCTTCTGCAGTTGCCAGGTGAGAGATGGAGGCTTGGATGACAGCCGTGGATCATACAAGGGAGACGAGTAGGCACAGCAGCCTGTGAGAGGGGCTTGGGGAACGCAGTCCAGCTCTCCAGGGGTCTTTGCTCTGGGCAGGGGAGTGAGAGCTCCTCCCCCCAGCCAGTTGGGTGTCCAAGGGATGTCTCTGGGGCTTATGGGTCTCTGTGGCATCTCAGAAGGGCGCCCACTTGGTAGAGGCAGTTGTTGCTCGAAGAAGTAAAGTCCTGTTGGGCAGTGAACAGCTTGAGCTGTCCAAGCCCTGTCCCTGCACACAGTACGGAGTCTGAAACTGTAAGCCCCCGGGCAGACAAGGAGGGGGCCCCAGTCAGGAGGACTCGGGCCCCTTGCAGGGTCCTTCTAGGCCCCTCTTCTCAGAAAAGCCTGGATCGGATTCCAGACCCTCCTCCCTGGGGTCCCGGGGTCCCCACTCCAGTCTCTTTATCCCTCCACCGGAAAGCTCCATTTTCCTCTTTTCTTCCACAAAACACCTTAATGGTCCATTATAACCTGAGCCCAAATCATTAGCAAATGAAAAACTGGCTCCCATTTTCTCTAAGGCCACAGGATGGGGGGGGGAGGAAGCTGGGAGGGAGGCACCCCCACACACACTGGTTTAGTTCCAATGTTAATGAAGCAAAGAAAAGGAGGTAAAGCCAACACTTCAGTTTCTGTGTTATAACTGTTTGATAATTCACTGTTTTTTTCCTACCATGAGGCACATCTGTGTGTGATGGATTGGATGTCAGAGGTGAAGAAGCTGGAGTAAAAGATGGCTCCCAAGTCTCTGGCTTAGAGAACTGAATGGACTCCTTTATTTGAAATTCCAACAGATGTTGATTAAACACTGAGCAGGGTTCGTGGTGAAAACGACAAACCCCTGCCTCTGGGGCAAAGGAAAAGAAGGAAATTCCTAAGGAAAGAAAATGCAATATAGTTCACCTTGAGGAGGCACAGTTGAAGATGCCCACAAGGTCAATGGGATCAAGAGTCAGCTGTTCTAGAGGAAGGATGGGTTGTGAGTATTGGTTTAGTTTGTATTTAGTTGTATTTAGTTGTGAGTACTGTATTTAGTTATCAGCATAGAGAGGTTTACTGAGGTCATGGGAGTGGATGAGCTCACCTGGAAGTGTCTATAAAGTAAGAAGAAAATGGAGCCTAGGCTCCAAACAAGGGAGTCACCAGTAACAGTCCAGGTTAATTGTCCTCATGCCTGAATCAGGATTTCAAAGTACCACAGGAGAAACTCACAGACCTGGGCTGGTTGTTTCCACAAGGTGTTCCACCACTTCCACGTGTCCTGAAATCACCATTTCCCCAGACAGCTCACTCTCCTGTTCTCACTGGGATCTTTCTCAGAGCTTTCTCCCTGTCCTTGCTCTGCCATCCTGCCACTTACCTAGGCGTTTTCAGCAGAGCTCCTAACCTACATCACACAAGTAACAGAAGCCACTGAAGAGGAAATCCTCTAATCTTCTAACACCAAACTTACAGAGGTCTTCCCTGCAGGCTCGCCCTCCCCTTTTTCTATCACAGTGGGATGCACATGTCCTTCCCACCAACTGGGCTCAGAATCCTGAGACGAGCTCACCTTTCCTGATCTCTTAATTCAAGATTATCCCTGCTCTTTAGGTATTTTCTACTTCTCTGGCTACTAATTCCTTCCCTAACACATTTAAATAAACTTCTGTCTCCCACTAAAAACAAACAAACTCAAATCTCCCTTATTCTCTTTTATTTCTGTCTTCCCTTTTACAGGCACATGAAAGAAGATCACCACTGACATTCTTACACTAAAATCAGAGGCAATTTCTCATCCATATTTTACTTGACCTTTCACTTCCATTTGACACTTGTGTTGTGGTCCGTGCATGGGTTGGAAAAGAATTTCCAGACGTGAGACAGAATGAGAGGGAAATAAAGTTTATTAGAGTGGATTAGTGTTAGAACAGCGGGCCAGCTCAAGGGAGAACCAACGTTGAACAGGGGTCCTTAGTCCACTTTTATACCCAGGGTACAAGGAGTGGGATAGGGGTCTTGCGGGTCATTTGCTGATTGGATG